TCTTACTTGTAGTCATATGAAATTTGCATTTTAAGTCAATAAATTCACTTTGCATACGCACACACGTTGACTGGAAGCCAAAACATGCTCTATAAATCTGTTCGCGTCGAGCGGGGCGTGGCAAGGGGAGTTGTCTTAGCGGCTTAGCCTTCAGCCTGCGGCCAACTTAAGTCTGGCTACTGACTACAGCAACTACCTAATCCCCCCTCACTCTCTCCCTCTCCCTCTCTCTCTCTCTCTCTCCCTCATTCTGTGTACACCCCTGTATTACCAGATTACAGCAAGTGTGAGTGGGCAAATAGCTGAGAATAACTGAGAACTGAGAACTGTGAGCTGAGAATTGCGACTGCCGTTGCCTTTTGTCGCTTTGGCCGTGCTTAAGGCGATATTTGCGTTATTTACGATTATTTACAATTTAAAATTTACATGCGCCAGCCCGCCCCCTCCTCCTGCAGCGCGTCTGTCTGTTGCCGTGATGTTGTACATCCTTCGCCTCGTGTATCTTGATATGTTGATTTTTATTTATATCACAATTACTTGGCTCTAACTACAGACTCGCTGTGCCTAACTGTGGGTAAGCGTTAGCATTTGGCTAGTGTAGCTGGATGTTGACAGATAATTAAAAATAATACGAGGCTTGAGGTATTGTAACTGTGAGCAGGCATGAAAGAGTTTGAAATAGTGCTTATATATGTATGTATGTAGTATAGAAATGCCTATATTTTTATATTATTTTCTATAATTTAAATTATCTAATATTTAACAAATATAAAATTAAAAAATAAATTAAAAAAAATAATTATTTTTTTTAACTTAAATAAAATAATATATACATATATCAAATATATAAGATATAAAATATTTATTTTTAATTTTTTACGAATTTTTTTTTCTTATACACTAGTGCAAAATTGGTATTAGTGCCTATAATTTATATAATTATAGGATATATATTAAATCATATTAATTATATTCATTTAGCATTACAATTTCATAATATTCATATGTTCACTTTTAGGTTTGAGCTGAGTTTGATTCAAAAATGATTGCCAACCAGTTTGGAGCAATTTTCACATCTCTTGCGCTCAGCAAATTTATGCGGTGGTGCGATATTTAGCCGGCGGCATTTGGATAATCGAAGCCGTAGTGCGCTGCAGCGCACAAACTTCTGTGCAACTGCAACCGCTGAAGAGGAAACCCAGGCTCAGCCACAGCAACCGCCCGGCTCGCCCCGCACCGCCAGCAACCAGCTGTGGCAGTCAGCATCACAGTTTGGCATCTTTTTGAGGCAACTAATTGAATTATTAGCGGCTGCAGCCAGTGGTTGAGGCAGTTGTAGTTGTGGTTGTGGCGGCTCTGTGACTGGGTCTGTGGCCGGTCCGTCTGCCCGTTGTGTGCACATTGAAATTATTGTTGGTGGTTGACAAGGATCAGCGCCGACGCCTTATTTGTGTTCATGCTCATTGCACAGCCACAACCGCAGCCACAACCACAGCCACAACTACAGCCGAGCCCTCTCCACGCAAACCAACTGCTGCTGCTGCTGCCTTTGCTGCCCTTGGGCAATGGGTGGACCAAGCTCTAACAAGCGGGTGTTGGCCACGTTGCAGCCCAGTTGGCAAGGGAACTTGGGCTGCTGTTGCCGCCGGCTGCCGACATGTGCACACGTATTGTTCTTGTAAATCATTGATTAATTCTTACTCTTTTTGCATATGATTAGTGAAAGTTGCCAGCAGAGATTCTCATTCAGTTTCAGATTCAGATTCATATTCAGATTCCAATAGAATTTGCCCCAACCATGCATGCAATTAAATTATGTCCACAGCCCTTGGAAAAACCAATGTGAGGGAAAAGCAACTGTTGACGTGCTAAATACTAAATACTCTACCGTTGTAAATATATGAGTATGTATGTGGGTTTGATGAGATGATCATTGCATGATTTAGTATTTATTTATATATCTTTAAAATTAAGTTAAGTTTATACTTAGTATATGGTTCATACAATAAAGTACTGTTCCTTCCATAGTGAGTATTATTATTATTAGTATTTTAAGTATACTCAGAAACTCAGAATTTTATATTGTTGAAATGGGGAAATAAATATGAGTACATTAAATCCACATTACAGAAGAATAGAGCTTGTATAATATTAAATACCATTCTAACTAATAATTTCACACAGAAACTCATTTCTTACTTATCATTTAAAACTAAACTCATTATAATATGTATTCAGTGAGCATTATAATTATTCAGCATATCCTTTAATCTAACAGAGTTCACAGATGGAGAAAGATCATCTCGGGACTGATCAACTCGTGGCATGCTTAACTCGCAAATGTAAATACCCTTAGTTAGAGTATACAGTGCGTCATGATATAACACATGGTCGTACAACCCTTTGTTATCAAGAATCCAATTCCACGCTGGGATATGAGATGCACACGCTTCCCTGACACTCTGACACTGTAACACTCTGGTCTGGCATCAGGCAAATGTCACGCATGTCACGAGGCCCAAACAATGACCAGATATAATCAGAATGTCTTGCAGGACTACATATCCTGACACTTTAGCAGTTTCTTTAGAAGAAATGTGGAAAATGTGAAAGCTGGCAGGAGTGAAAACTTGCATATCTGTTGTCCAAGTTTCTGCTGCATTGTGCAAACTTTTTGTGCACCAACTTTGAACTTGGGAGTTTTCATCGAGTAGTTGACACTAGTTGGACTAGTATGGGTGTATCATATATATATCTAAACTTCATATATAGAAAGTGAGAAAGGGGTGGAGAGGCAGCTCTCATAAGTGGAGCACACTAAGACCAGCAAATGGCCTGCACTTCCGCACAATTAGTTCGTTCCAATTGTGCCGCCTTCGGATGTCTCGAGGAATATTTAAGAGTGTAAGAAAAAAGGAAAACCATTTTCTGAGCTGGCAATTTACAAGGTGTTAGACTTAAGAGATGGAAGCGGCACGAGTTGGATGGCTGGGATGCTGGGGGGAGGAAGCGACAGGGTAGCTGTTCTCGGCAGACAAAAACAAATCACTTAGCCTTAATGGCTTATGAAGGCAGCGCATTTAACCAAAAACCTCAAGCAGTTAAGCGAAACGACAGTGGGCGTCTGCAAGACAGCACAAGCAGGAGAGGGAGGCGCTGCAGCAATAGAAGCTGTCAAATGGTTGTCTTTACACACACACACACACACACACACAGAAAAGTGGAACATTGCACGCTGCTGACGCTGCAGGCGCTGTGTATGAGAAAGAGAGAGAGAGAGAGTGCGAAATGAGATGTGAGAACTGAGACCTGGGACTGGCTCTCCAGCTCGCATAATGGGCGACCCAATTAGGCAAAGTGAGTGTTGGTGTGTAATGCATATGAACCATAAAACAATTGAACAATGTGCTGACAACAATTAACAAACAGCCGCAAAGACAATCGAAAGGATAAAGACCCGAGAGCCTGAAAGCAGTAGGAAGTCAAATATTTATATGAAGACTCGCGCAAGTACCTGAATAAGTATAAGTAATGCGAAGGTAAGCAAAAGAACAATCGCACTGGAATATTTTCCCAATTATATATTCAGCAAGTCGTTGACTCGGTCTCCGTTGGCATTACAGGTCTCATTCCCATTTGATTAGCTAAAAGCTATAGATTCTTCTGCAACCATATGCCTGGCCGATAAATTTCTCACAGCTGTCTGTCATTTGTTTATTAGATTTGTCAATGCAACAGTTTTTTGTCAAGCACTTCCCCCCGGACGGGCCATCCAAATCATCGGAATTGCAAATAGATTGAGCCCAAAAAACTTTTGTCCGGCACAAATGCCGGGTGTCACATGCAGGCGATGCGTATAAATTAGAGAATGCCACCGAGTGGCCATTGTGTGTGGCATCTTAAATGTCAAAAGTGACACCCCTCGCCCTCGCCCTTGCACCCTGCACCCTGCACCCTCGCCTTTACCAAGTGCACCTGAAGCGCTTCAACTTTGACTCAAACCGCCGGCGAAACAATAAATTTCCCTTTGGAAGCCATTGACTAAGGACAAAGAGGAGGCGCAGCTTCCAACCTGACCAAAGCCCTTACATATCACACACACACCCACACATGCTTCGCATTTGGGGGCTGGGCAAGAAAAATGATGACCACAATGCCCTGGCAACTGGACGCACGGCTGAACATAAGGGCATAAAAAGAGGAGAACCGTTAAGGAACAACTTCTGGGCTAATAAAACACAAAAAAAAAAAAAAAAAACCAAAAAGCAAAAGGCAAAAACTAAGGGAAAAACCTGCGGAAAAACCTGTTCCAAATGCATTTGGCCATTATGTCCTAGTTGGAGGGTGTTTAAGCGGAAAAGGTAAGTGAAGCTGGCGGCTCTGCCTGGGTGGGGGCTGGGCTTTTAGTCAATATCTCAGGGTACGCTGCAATTTTTCTTCATTTTTTTGGCTTTTGTCACCCAGCATGAAACTCAGGCGGAAGTTAAGCTGTTGTTTATGTGTCATCGTAAATCATGTTCAATGTACACGAAACAATTCCACGTAAGTGGATAATGGCAACGCTCACTGGCTAGTCGAAGTTAGTTTTATGCTGTCGATGATGGAAGCTGCGTGAAAATTTAGTTCCTTAAAAGCCGAACAAACAGTGTTGCACGAAACAAACAATTTTCTTAAGTAGAAACGGACCGGAGGATGATGCTGTGGATATGAACTCCAAAAGATCAAGAAGAAGCTCAACGGAGCTTTAGGATAACGGATCAGGAAATGCCTATAAAAAGCAGATGGAACCCAAAGGAACACTGCATCCGGGGATGAGAAATCGCTTTACTACTTTATGCCCCGATAAATATGATCAAAGTAAATTGAGAGCAAACTAAATGGGTTGCGTGTCAATATAAGAGCCATAACGAAATAATATTTACCACATTTCTATGAATTTGCTATGAATTGCATTATATGATCGATTTGTTCTGCATAAAATATCTAAGACTTCATTCATTTAACAACCTCACTTTGCTATCAACCATGAAGAGGCACAGTTTTTTTATTCTACTTTTCATCTTGCCTATATTCATTAGGACTCGATCGGAGGTGCCTAACAGCAAAGGTATACAAAACAGTCAAAGCTAAAGCATTGTACAATCCGATTTTTCTTTAGCTATTTTAGATCAACTGATCTCAAGTGATGCACCCAAAGTCTTATCAGAAACTAATTTGAAAAAATCAGCACCCAAAGTCTTATCAGAAACTGATTTGAAAAGATCAGTACCTCTACCGGAAAATACGACTCAAAATGTCAGCACCAGCAGTCCCCATAGTTCAACATCCACTTCGAGTCCCCTTAACACAACGGTGACAGTCTCAGCGAGATCCCCGAATGCAACAATAGCATATCCATTCGTAGCATCACTGCAAATCAAAAAGGGAAAGTTTATGCATCTCTGTGGCGCTACAATATTGGATGCCAACTTCGTATTGACGGCGGCTCATTGCTTTCTAAAATACCCCAAGCTGAAGCCCAAAAATTATCTTGTGGCCGCTGGCAGCAATCGACTGTTCAATGCGAAAACAAAACGTTTTCGTGTTAGCAGTTTAAGAAAACATCCGAATTTCAAGCCCCTGAAGGGCCATGATATTGCATTGCTGAAGCTAGCAACACCCATACCGATCGACAATATTCGATTCGCAGCTTTAGACTTTCGGGATACCACTAGAAAGCCCAGCAATGTGAATACTCTGCTCGTCGGCTGGGGTCGCACCAAGCCAGGCATACCAAAGAACCTAGAAACTGTCTCGTTCCGCACCATAAAAGATGATATGTGCTTTGTAGATCATAGATTTAAATTTTTGACTCATTCGGAAATTTGTGCGATCCACACAACGGGAGTTCGTGGAGCTTGTGATGTGCGTATTTATATGGGAAGTCGAAATTTCAAATATATAACGAGTATGATACCTTCCAGGGCGACTCAGGTGCACCTCTAGTAGACGTGAATAAGCATAAGCTCGTTGGCCTCCTCTCGTATTCCCGCAAGCCCTGCGAGGTGCACAAAGTATACGCCTTTACGCGAATCAGCCCCCACGTGAGCTGGATCAAGGAGCAAATGAGGATTATGCAATAGCAAGTCAAATAAGAAACGCACTAAATAAGTTTCTCACTGTCTATTCTGCTTAATATATGCAGTCAAATTCCCACTTGACGCTTGCTTCATTCCTATCCCCAAATGCAAATAAAGGAAGTCACTTAAAAAATTATGCCGCCCACTTTGGCAAGTGCCATGGGATATGCAGAGATGAAAATGTGTTAATGTGCCGGGCCGCAACGCTTTTAGAATTCATGTCACTTTTATAAGGTAACAGATTCACGCGCGATTGTCACTTACGCTGATTTCCGCAACAGGCCCCCAGAGAGGACCCCCGTCGCCCCCAAAAGTCCGTGAGGATGAAGGCGTGCCCCAACCAGGCGTAGGCAATACAAATGACAGTTACGTGTGCGGGTACTCCATTTCTTTTAACTGCTTTTTTTATTGCATGCCCTGTACTGTAAGCAGTTAGGCAGGGTATATCGGTTGTTAAGGTATAAAAATAGAAAAATTGGAAATGATTTAATTTGAATTTACTTGGTAATTCTCAGTAATATTAAGGCTGGTTACAAGTGCTTCTCAGCAGAGCTCAACATATTTGAAGAAAAAGTAAACTTTCCCCTTTTATTTTTCAAAATATTTACCTTTGCTGACACAGCTGCACTCTGGGCATTGTTGACTTTGTTTCTGAACAGAGTTCAAGGCATAAGTCATTGATATAAATATATAAAGTCATATATATTGGAGATAGTTAACTGTCGACGCAGTTCAATTTAAGCAATTGTGAAATGAGGACGCGTCTTCTCTGGGCCTTCATGACCATTGTCCTTGCCTGGAGCAGCTGCTCTGCTGGCGCCTACAGACTGCTGGACTCCCTGGACGAACCTCAGCAAAGCTGTCCAGCGGGCCGAGTAAATGCACAGCATAAGGCATATTACAAAGTGGATAAATTGAACGAGGCGCCTGATAAAGAAACTTGCGGCATATCCGAGCCGCGCCACAAACCCCTGCGACTGCTGCTGCGCATATTCAGCATTAGGAGACCCATCAGATGGGAGCCACTAAATGTAACACCCGGACATCATGTGGAGCGCAGAGCTGGGCTCTTCAGAGAGACTCGACATATAGAGAAGCCCAGACGAAAATTGATTCTGATTTTGAACGAAAGGCCCCATGATATGCAGCCAGGCAACGCTCGTTTCATGTAACATATTTCTCATATTTATTATCCATCAAGTTTTTGATTAGTTTTAAGTGCTCATAATTAAAGAAAGTTGCTAAAACACATGCGACTAGGTTTGGCCATAAATTAAAAGCATTTTGCTGCCGCAAAGGATTAAGCCATCAAAGAAAGGGACTTTCAGCTAAAATATCTTTAAGAGAGCTTTGCCAATAAATAATAAGACTCACATATGCGCAGCTTTGGGCTGTGACATAAAAAGCTTCTATGCCACTTGATTGCGGTTGCACAACCACCCAAACACCCACCCACACTGCCAGTCAGCCAGTGTGCACAAAGCCACTCGCATAAAAAATGATGTTATATGCATGACCCTAAATTAATCTAGCGAAACCTTTTCCCTTTGTAACGAAAGCCCCAACTCTGCTCTGCCCCAGACACATCAAAGCCACTGAAGTATGACAGAAACGAAGCTATTTGAATATCCACGTAAATGTCATATGCGAACAAATTAAATTTGGCTTATGACCAGCTCAGGAACAGAGTCGAACAGACTGAGAAAGATAAAGAGAGAGAGAGAGAGAGAGAGAGAGAGAGAGAGAGGGAGAGACAGAAGTCAGCTAAAAAATGGGGAAATTTGCTGCAGCTTTTTATGTCGAGATCGTAAAGAAGTGGTCCTTGGCCATTTGGATATATCATAATTTTAAATATTTCTTTTTTTTTTTTTTTTTTTTTTTGTGTGCTATAAAATGGTTCATTACGGGTCTCAAGTACCTAAATAAAATACAGATTAGGTAAATATTATATCTGATCTATGAAAAGTACTACATCAGAGAATTTCCTTCTACGTATTCATACCACGATTTCATATAAGGTAACTTTTATCCTTAGAGAACTTTTATCTCCTTTTATACATTTTATATTTTTATTTTATTTTATATTTTCCATTTTCATAAGACTTTCAAGCAGCTAAAAAAGAAGTGCTGAAAACTAGCTGCGCAATATGTCGCTTGCAGCGAATCAAAATTATGCAAAACAAAAGTAAGAAATAGAATTTCATTTGAAATTCAAAATTCTTGACGCAACAAGACGTTGGCAGACTGTCGCAATGGGCGACTCATTCGCATGCAGTTGGCGTACCGCAAAGTGGATATTGATATTTTGTTCTTAAATTTTGTTATTTATGTGGACACGCTTCAGCACCCAGCCCCAGCCTCAATCCCCGCCCCAGCCCCTGCTCAAATACATACATATATTTATATATTGTATTCCATATAAGCAAAACAGAAGTTTACAATTTGCACAGTCGAGCGACATTTTTGCCAAGTTGTGCAAATTTAACGCGACATTGTGCGAATGCCTGGCCTACCACCCGAGTGCCCTACCCGCCCGCCTGCCCTTGCCCTTGCTTTCTGCTTTTTCTCTTTTTAACGGGGGCGTGGGCGTGGCTGTGTCCGCCCTGGGTCCCTGGGTCTTGTCATGCCCATTGACATGCACGTCGTGTGCCAGAGCAGAGGCCGCCGCTTAACTTTGACAGACCAAGCCAAATAACCCGCCCTCGCGGCCCACTCCGCAGCTTTTCCGAAATTTGGCCATAAATTTCGCAACGTTTTCGACACATTCGAGAAGTTTTTTCTAGCAACCACTTGAATTTTTCAATTGTCACAAATTTATTCTAATACAGCGTGAAATTTATGAGTGACAAATTGAATTTGAAAATTGAGTAATATTTTTACTTTAACGTGGGCCAAGAAAACTTGAGAAAAGGAAAAATATGAAATAAATTTATTTTTTAAATGCAACTAACTTTATTATACATTTAATATAATTTATTATAAAAATATATTATTATTTTTTGTATATTAATTTATTTATATTATTATTTTTTTACATAAATTATATTATTTATATTATATATACAATTTTTTATAATCTTCAGTACTACTTTATAAATATTTCTCTGCTTATAGCAAAAATATATTAAAGACTCGTTCTACTTTATTCATTCAACTGCACGAATGTGTTTGATTGATGATTCTTTTCTGACCAACGCCTGCCTGGGCAGCAACAAAAAGAAATCACATAGTTTGGCCCATGTCAGAGTGATTCGATATGGATTGGTTTGGCCGCAGGACATTTGTGGGCACTTGGCACAGTAGTAGTAGTAACATATCAGACTAGCTTAAGGATATGCGCGTGTTTTATATTGTTTCAAATGGACCACAACACTAAACACTCCATAAATAAAACCATTAGAGGCGCCATTATGTGTGGGAAAGCAAACGAAATAATATTCAAGTGAAGCAATTTTTTGTTTATCATTTTTATGTGCGCCCTGAGTATGTGGGCGTGCGCGGGAGTGTGTGTGTGCGTGTGTGTTTGACATACGCAATCATATAAATCTTAATGTTTATAAATCACGTCGTATTGTTATGCCCCAGGGTCACTTTTTTACGATAAAGCAAACTTAAGGGAAACTAAATGAAATTGTGGAATTCACTTGATCTTGAGATATCTAGAAATGGATCAAAAATCAAGTAGAGCTACTTTACAAGAATAGACACACTGAGAACTCTCATAGACTAGTCCATTAAATGGAATTGACAGCAGAGTGGCATATCGTTTAGATTTTGAGGACTTTTCAACAAATATGAACCAAAAGAAAAATATTTATTTTGCTTAAAGTTAGATTTTTAGATCGATTTCTCAAGAGATTGTTCTGTGGCATTTTTAATATGCAAATAATTTGATGGCCAAATGGCAGCCAACTGTGACCCAAGCCAACTGTGTCAATGCCCAACGCCCTCTGCAAAAGAAACATGCGAAATCTATTCAAGAGTCAAGTTGACAACAATGCGACGAGGCCTACCGTGGCACTTGCCATGCCAAGAAGCAGGAACAGGATGTGACCATGGCATCTGGTTCTGGATCTGGATCTCTCCCCGTCGCCTTGCCATTTGAATATGACACACAGATGACAGCTGCTCCAGCTACGGCTCGGTTTGGTTTCGTACTGTTCCCGGCTCTGGGGTTGCCGCTGATGATGCGTGCCCATTGTGCGCATTTGACGTTTGGTTTATTAATCAGTTTGGCCTGCGGCCAGGCCAGGGCAGGGCAGGGCAGGACAGAGCAGAGCAGGGCCAGGGCCAGGGCCAAGCTCAACCAAACGCCGTCGCAATTTTCTACAAATGAATAATTTTTGTGCAACACACACAAAAAAATAAAATAAAAGGCAAAGTCAAAAAGCAGCCACCGCAAAAGGACTGGCCACAAAGCTCAGTTTATATTTTTGTGGCGCAGCTCGCATTTTAATTTCACACAAAAGAAAAATAAAGTCAAACAAATGTCAGTCGCGTGTTAATCAACTGTAAATAAATGGCGCAAAGATTAGAGAGAAATGCAAAAAAAGGCCCGTTAACGATGCAGCACATGGAGTAGACTAGCAGATGTCCTGTAATGCAGGTTGAATTGAGACAGGCTCAAGCACGATTCATTTCCTTCGACAACCTTGAACCTTTTCAATAGACCATTCCATTTAATGGTTAATTTCTTCTTAGATATTTAATAGTCTATATAATTCATTTAATTTATAATATTAAATTTTGCCATTATATATGTTTAATACAATTTTTTATTATTATTTAAAAATTTTATTATAAATACTCTCGTCTTCTTCGCTATGAAAACCTTTTCCTTAACCCAAAGGTCTATCACTTACAGGGTATATAAATCACATATTATGAAAAAACAAAACCTGCGACAGTCCTGAAAAAAAACGTACGCAAAACAAATAAAAAATGGGGTGTGATGCAGGCTAAAAAAAATAAAATAAAAAACCCAAACAAATCTGAAAAAAGTCGGCTTCAAGAATACACTTAATGGTTTTTTAAATGTTTTTTAAATGCGCGTGAAAAATCTGTCACTCGAAAAGCAAACAAAGAAAAAAATAGAAACTCACCAAACTTCAAAAGCTTAAAGTTGCCGCAACATTTCCTGTTTCTCGGGGATATCCCATGCAAATTAGCTATAGAAAAAGTTCTTATCATGAATCCAAGGCGCGTTGTTATTGCTTGACACCCACTAAATCCGCAGCCCAGCCTGAAGTCGAGTGCCCAATACAGCAGAGGCGAAGCCATAGCCATGGCCACTCCCAGCAACGCCTACAATAAATAAATAAATGCTCAGACAGTGTCCTTTTCGAGGCGTTGCCCTGGGGGCAGGAGATGGGAGCGTGGGGGCTGCTTGCTGGTGTTGATGATACTATTATCTTATATCGCGGCCGGGTTGATGGCAAGGACTCGCTGGCTGTCAGTGGCCGCGGCCAAGCACTTCAATAGTCCTTTTACAATTCATAGATATACGCACTTAGATAGTCGGCTGGAAAAAATCGTTTTATTGGCTTTCGAGGTCCTTTTTGTCGCCTCAGCCGCCCACCAACAACAACAGCAACAAGGACACATAAACCGCAAATAAGTTTAACATTGTACAACATTTACATTCCGGCAAGTGGCAGAGGTTTCCCTTTCGTTATTGTATTTGCTGTGATTTGTGTGGCTTTGTGGCGGGCAGCGCTTGAATTTTAAAATGCCCAGCACAGTGGGACACATCGAGAAAATTTAAAGCAAATTTGTTGAATATATTTCTTGCGCTGCTGAGATGAGTTATAAAAGAAAAGGGCGCTACGCCCTTTTCGGATATAGTTTATATAGAATCATTAAGACGCAGCTCTAATATAACGTTATTATGAATAAAGTTAATATTATTTATATACAGTGAGTAACATTGATATTCGGCTTTTTTTATTTTCAACTTCAAACGCCTGTAAAACATATAAAATTAATTAAAATTAAAAAAAGGTAAATGCTAAATTGTAGATTAAAAATAACCTTCCCAATGAGGTATATATCAATATATTTGACATAATTAACAAAGATTAAACATAAACCGGGAAAAAAGTTGAAAAATAAAATCACCGAATATCAAAAACAAAATATATATGAGCTGTAATTTGACTAGCTTTAGGTTTTATAAAATTCTGCATTACAGTATGACAACTTCAGACACACATTTTCAATAAATACCCAGTATGCACTGATATTTTAGTTTTAGTTTTTTTTTTTTTTTTTTCTTTTCAAGTACTCAAAATGTTTTATTTGTCAGTAAAGTACAATTTATTGAAAGCGACAATTTATAAAATTTGTTTATTTCATAGAGAATTTCGCACTCTAAACGTCCAGTCTTGCTCCACTGTGCCACCTCTGAGCGGCTGTCAAGTAAAAGGGGTGCAAATGATGCAATTTGTAAAATTGCGTGTTCTTTCTTGAGCCCCTGGGCAAAGTATAGGCATGGCCATAAGACGACACAATGCTATCTAATCTTATTTGATATTATTTTTGCGTTAAACTTGCATTTCAGCGCGCTTTCAAGACGGACGGACATCGTGGGCGCCATTGTTCAGGCGAACGGAAATCTAACAAATTGCCTTTAATATAACGAGTCGTGTCTTTAAAGTTGAAAACAAGCGTTTTTAATGACATTTAACAGGAAATGCCAGCAAACGCATCAATCATTTGTCAGCCATAAAAATTCGCTACACATGAGCATTAAATTATAAAAAAAAAAAATTTGAAACGTCCTGAAAAAGCGAGAGAGAGAGAAAAAGAAAAAAACCTAATGGTTCTTTCTAAAAATGACCTTGTAAGTTATGAGGCACGGCGGGGCGCCCTTTTAGCCAAAAAGCCACGAGTCGAGGTTCAACAACGGTCACTCCGGAGAGTTTGGCACAAGCCAGAGCCAGCATCCACTTGTAGCTGAGTGGTTGAGGGCGGTGGGTGGCGTGGGCTCAATTGGTTCGCCAACCGCCTACGCCTGCTGTGTGCGACAGAGAGAGAAAGAGGGAGAGGGAGAGGAAGAGGGAGTCAAGTGCGTGCGCGCTCATATGTGAACATTTATTGGAAAACATTATTATTTATGACTTTTTGAATGACATCGCTTGAACTTTTTCAAGCAATAAAGTCCAGGCACAATAACAACGGATATTGCGGCGGGACTTCAATTTTTTATATCCGTTATTTAAAATTGCATTTTCTATAGAGAATTGCGAGTTTCTATTTTAATTTTGATTTATGAAGATATTCATTAGAAATTAGGCATGTACGATGATGTATATAAAGAAGAGACCGATACATTACTTGTTTATCATTTTTCATTTCAGTACATCTAATATATTCCGTATAATTTGTTTGATTTTCCTTCTCTCAACATAAGTAAACCAAATCCAAAAGAAAAACAAATGTGTGTCTTAGGCCTAAAACTCAATCTAAAATGAAAATCTTTATATACGCGCACTAAACAAACTCACAGCCTTGCAGCCTCGATATCAACACGCTAAAGGGTTATATCCCAGCCTCCGCGGCAGTCAAGAGTTCCATCGCCATGTGAGGGACGTAACATATATGCGCACGCTTTAAGATCTTATCAAATAACCATGAAAACAAAAATGATTATTTTAAGTAATTGCCAGCTATTGTTAACGAAAAAGGGAACCTTGTCTTAAGGCGGGCATTGCTGGCCTTCATTTAAACTAAAACTGTGACTTTTCCTTTTATTTACTGTAAGTGGGAAGCTCGTTTCTTATTTACTGCTGCCATATAGACGAGCAGAAAAAAGAGGGAAGCTATTGTGTATGTATGAGTGAGATATGTACATGCTCCAGGCGCATGACCCATTCCTGAACCCACACAAAACACAGCCAGCTTTGGATACGAAGGATACACGAACTCTCGCACTCCGACTAAACTAATGCCATCCTCGTCTAACCTCGTATCGCTCTGTGGGTGAGTCAAAGTGTAGATAGCTGCCTGCCATAGGACGACAACGAAGTGAACGATGTCGACTCCCCATACATATAGAATGTCCTAAGGTGGAGCAGAAGCCATGACTGCGGCCATGACAGCGATAATGTATACAAGCCAAGCGGAAGACGGGTATAGCTATACAGCGGGAAGTGGGATGGAGAGAGAGGGAGGGAGGGAGCGACATTTGTAGGGTTGCCGTTGCTACGGTCCCACCCACCCGGACCAGACCCAACCAAATGCTTGCTGTCTGTTGTTGTCTGCAGCTTGCTCTCTCTCACACTCGCGCACTCACTCACTCACTTTCTTTTCTTATTGCCTGCTTCTGCTTTGTGGGTATTAAGTTTTGAGCTTAATACTAAAGATAAACGTCTCTTACTAACAGCACTTATCGAGTTACTACTTGGGGGACTTAGCTTTGTTAACTGAATTTTCTTAGTAAGTCATAATTATAAAAAAAGAATGAAAAATCAGATCAAAGTAAATGTTAAGTATAAAAGGGTTTTCGATTTACTTTTACTTTTAACTTTTGCAATAAAAATTCTCTTTTTATTGGAAATATATAATTAGTAATTTTTATACCCTGAACCCATTTTCAATGGGAAATCAGGGTATAATGGTTTTGTTGAAATGTATGTAACAGGCAGAAGGAGGCGTGGCAGACCCCACAAAGTATATATATTCTTGATCAGGGCGACGAGCTGAGTTGATTTGGCCCTGTCCGTCTGTCTGTCCGTCTGTCCTCGTCCGTCCGTCCGTCCGTCTGTCCGTCTGTCCGTCTGTCCGTATGTATGAACGCGTCGATTTCAGAAGATATAAGAGCTAGAGACTTCAAATTTTTTTTAAAATGTCCGTAATTACAGCGCGCATATCAAGTTTATCATTAAAAATCGATAACTCATCCCGATCTTTTTTATCGATAAAAAACCTTATCGAAAGCTAGTTATTTAATTATATCTCCTACACCTTTATTGCTAGAGTCTCCAAATTTTTAATGTATGCTTATATGCAATTTATACAATTTCGGTTTTTGTTAAAATGTACCCCCACCTCTAAATTCACCCCCTCACCCTCACTTTTGTAAAAAGCGTATTTCAAATACTAGAGACTTGTGCTTTGGCAATTACATGCATATTCATGTTATAATCATAATCTAAAAGTTTCATGATCGTACGTCCATAAAAAAAGTTATTAAACAATTAAGTTCTCATAGTAAGCGCACACTGCAGCCCATGCGTGTGTATGTGTGTGTATGTGTTTGTGTATGTGAGTGTGTGTATGCGTTTGTGTCTGTATGCGTGTGTGTGTATGTATGCCTGTGTGTGCGTACGTGCATGTGTGTGTGTGTGCGTGTTTCTTGTGTAAGCTGAAAGATGCGAAAAATTATTGAAATATCTATTGCTCCAAGGGTTCAGGGGATCTCGTAGTCGAGCAGTCTCGACTAGAGCTTTCTTACTTGTTTATATATATCTTATATGTATTCCACTTCACGAATATATGTTTAAAAGGCTTTACAGCTTTCGACAGTTTATTAACTGTTTCTTTCAAATTCAAAATCATCATCAAAATCCCTCTTAAAGTCCTCTTATGGAAAATTACTAATTTGTTCCATAATTGGAAAACTCAATCTTACTTAGACGATCTGTTTAAATTAATATTAACAACTAAAAAGTTATGTAGAAAATAACCGTATAAAAAGCAATCTATTGAAATTATGAACTTGAAATTTATATTCAACTTTAATCAAAATGCTAAAGTTCGTAGTTAAATTTCTAGTTTCAGTTTAATAAACAACTTGATATTGAGTAATAACTAAGAAGTTGCTCGCAATTATTATTATCTTAGTTGGTAATAGATGATTTATAACAGTGTAAATATGATCAGTAAAATTTATGATTATCATATGACAGCTTTTGTAGGCTGGGATAGGCATTTTATGGGAATTCAATTAAATTATCAACTATGAACTTCATTCGTATTTCTAAACCCAACTTTGACTTTATGTAGATACACATACTAATAAAAACTGCAACCTGAAATCTGTGCGTATGCAATGAGAGTTCCAATCTTTAAGCCCAACAAATTCACAAGGGACAATTTTTTATGACGCACTTTGTTAAACGACATGATGTGGTATGCGTAAGGTTTGCGTAAGGGTGAGAGGTAGCTGGGAAATGCCGGCGTCATAGCCAAACATGATGCGATTTTTTTTTTTTTTTTTTTTGTTTTTTGTAGCAACCCCAACACATCTAGATTGTGTTCTTATCGAGCTAACAACTTTAAGCATTGACCGTGGGGACGTGGGTCAGTTGTTTTTTTAGCTGCTTGTTGACTGGACGGACATCAGAAACACTTTTGTTTTATCGTGAACGATGATACATCAGCCATCAAGTTGATTAACTCACATGGAATGTGCCAAAGTGCCGAAAATCAAATTAAATTGCCTTGATGCGAGTGTTTGTGACATATCGAAGTGGGTTATGAGGGAGTTTTGTTATGAGATACTGCTACTCCGTTTGATTTATGCATTGCAAATCGATAGTTTGTGTTGGTCCTTAGGGTAAAGGGATAAGTGTCACATGCACAAAGATGATGGGATGATGCACATCACATATGAAAATTTGATGAAATTCATAACAAGTTGACACTAGGCGGCTTAGGACTGCTTGGTCTTTATATACTTCTGGTGCTTTAGCTCGAGGAACTTAAAGACAGACTCGATGGCTGCAGAGGAGGTCCATTCGTGTTCCGGATGTCCAGCCGATACACAAGTTAAATTCTTTTCTTTATCACCATGTGTTAGATCCGTATCGAGTGGCTCAGTGCTGGAGACCCAATTGCAGGTTACATCCAGAAAGTATTTTTGACAACCAGCGGGCGGATGGCCCACTGTGCCATCGGTTAGCGCAATGGCAAATACTTTTTCTTTAAAGAACTTTGTAAACTTCTCCGCCTGCCACAAACACAGTATTACTATAAAGTCTATTTGGAATACTTCTTCACTTACCAAAGCTTTACACACGGAGCCGCCGAAGCTGTGGGCCACTATGGCCACACTCTCGGGCTGCGACGGCATGATGATATGCTCCCATACGTAAGCGGCATGACTCATTGAATTCTCTAAACCTTTGATAGGCGTGCGCTTGCCATTTATAATACGTGTGGTGTCATTCGTATTCGTTACGAGTATATCATAACCCAGCTTCTGTGCGCGTTGTATATATGGCAGCTGTGTGCCGTGCTCCAGAGAGTTGTTTATAATCAATCTAGTAGAAAAGAAAAAGATTAGAAATGAGCAGCAGTGAGAAAGAATCAGTCAGTCAGATAAATAGACCTATGGTTATATATACCTACCTTCTTGCCCATTGGCCGGCCAACACATATCCGCTGCCATGGATGAGCACAAGCAGCTTCTTCGACTGGGCCAGAGGTTGCGGCTGTGTGAATACGAATGTGGAACGCTCAATGGGCTCTCCAATGGGTATATAGGTTCTCTTTAATCCATTTTTCTCCAGTAGCTCATATACTATATCGGGAATCTGATTGGCTAGTTGCTCGTAATGCTCTTGATTTGTAACCGGATTGTCGCTGATCTTAAATTCATAAGGCAGATCACCGGGCTTTCCGCTAGCTGCATCAATTTTGCGGAGTTCACCAGCTGCATAACCATAAGTGTAAATGAATGTCTGACAACTGTAATTATTTGCATAATCACCTTCATTGAATGCGTATCCAAATTCCCGCAAACGTGCAATTGCTTCCTGACTGCTGTTTGTACACGGCTCCGACATGGTCCTGCTGTGACGACTATGAATAGCAGCTATGGTAATGGATTTGATGTATTTAAAGCGCCGCCACATACTTAATGTAATGTATGTTACTTACTTAATAAAAACTTAGATTTATTCGTCAAAAGACCGGCGCAGTTGACAGCATCGATACCAATTTCAGCTGTTTACAGCCTGGCATCTCTGTGGCGGCATATCGATAAGCGCAGTTCTTTTTCATCGACAAGGTCCATTCCGGCGCCAATATTAAATTACATTTTCATTATTTTCGTAAACCTTAAGTTTAAAAACGGCATAGTAGCTAATTTCATTTATATATTTTCGACGATTTTTTAAAGCATATATTTTCAACGAATTTGTGATTTTTTAAATATAAAGTTTTGGTTCTCTGTAACTTTTCCAACGGTACTTCTGTAGCTCAGAGACTGCATAGCCACCCTGGAATTAAATATTAGTTCATAATAATAAAATAATTGAGTTTTTTTTTGTAGATGCAACACACCAATGTAACCAATATACTTGTTCTAAAGGATATAAAAGCATATGTATGCTTATCGCGGACGGAAAACTCGATTTTTCCAATTTAGTTCAAATGAACCTTTTATTGAACTACTTTTAAAATTCATTACATCAGCTGTTCCACAAGATAACAAATTTGGCCTAACAACGTTCATTTCCTCAAATTTAGGCCGTAGGCGGTAAATGTTTAGAGATTTAAGCTCTTACATTTATGATTTTGTGTATATTTTTCTAAATCTTTTTGAATCGCATTCAATACTCGTTGCAGTCCAACTATCGAAAGCAAACAAGCAATCAGCTGTTCTGTTTCGTTGGCAGTAATCGATATGTCATCGTTAGCGGAATCCAAACAACAGAAACAGAAACGGACACATCGCCTCAATTTGTTGATTGCATCCACTGCCAGTTCGCTGCCACGCTGCCAAAATTTAAAGTTATAAATGCAAAAAACGGCGTACGCATTCAGGGATTTGGAAAACTCGCCACGCACCATGCTAATGCGTGACTGGCGTACCGCCCTGCGTACGCCAAGCTATCGAATTGGCAATCGCTCGGTCCGGTTTAATTATCACTTTGCATTGCTTGTGTTTTGTGCTGTGGTTCTAGTATTACTCTTTATATACGCGCACCAAGGCAGTCGCAGCTCCTCCGATGGTTACTGGCTGCGCTCCCAATATGCCAGTGAAGCCACCTCTGTGCTCTCGATACCCTACAACTCAACGTATCCATTGACGCAGCCTCTGAGTGTGCAAGGCGGCGTTATCAGCTATCGGATTGCTATGATAGCAGATCTAGATACCAGCTCGAAAGTTGTTAAGGGCGACGGCAGCACAACGTGGCGAAGCTACCTAAAGAAGGGCTATCTCACGTATCTGCCAAAGAAGCATGAGCTACAAATAAACTGGGATGCAGGAGCACCCACAGCCTTGGAGTCCTCGTTTGCGCTGAAAGGACGTGGCATGGAGCTCTCCGAGCTAGTCACATTTAATGGAAAGCTGCTGAGTTTCGATGACCGAACTGGGCTTATTTACGAACTGACCAATGACAAGGCCATACCCTGGGTAATACTGCTCGACGGTAATGGCCACAATGCCAAAGGCTTCAAATCAGAGTGGGCAACGGTAAAGCAGCAAACTCTGTATGTGGGCTCCATGGGCAAAGAATGGACAACTAGTATGGGTGACTACGAAAACAATAATCCCATGTATGTCAAGGCTATCAGCATGGCAGGCGAGGTGCGATCCATAAATTGGGCGGAAAACTATAAGAAACTGCGTCTAGAATCTCTCCAGATAAGCTGGCCCGGCTACATGATACACGAGAGCTGCGCCTGGTCAGAAGTTCACCAGCGCTGGTATTTTCTGCCACGTCGCTGCTCTAAGGAAAAGTGAGTTTTGTGTACGAGCATTCTAGCATTAAATAAATGCTTTCTGCTCCATAGATATAATGAAACCATGGACGAGCACATGGGCTGCAACATTCTAATCTCTGCGGACGAGCACTTTAATGTTATAGAAACAGTCAAGTTGGATGCTGCCAATACGGCGCCTACTCATGGTTTTTCCAGCTTCAAATTTCTGCCCAACACACAGGATTCCATAATCGTAGCACTCAAATCGGAGGAGCTCAATGGCAAGACATCCACCTTTGTGACGGCCTTCAGCGTGGAGGGCAAAACATTATTGCCAGAGACACGTGTCGAGACGGACTATAAATACGAGGGCTTTGAGTTTATATAGCAAAGCGTCGCTGCTGTAATATTTCGTGTATATAGTGTATTATCCGGTATATATATATATATGTTTATGTATATATATGTTAGCCTCAAGTTTATATATAGCTTAAATATTAAGTTGTCAGTTAGGAGATGCTCTTAGACCAATGCCATAAATTATGCTGTTAAAAATACTCTGTTTACAATGTGAGAAGGGTTTATTAGCTTGGAGCAATGGCTGTCCGCTTATTTAGTATTTCGTTTAAGACAAAATTGCAAATTTTGTTTATTCTTAAATTAATTTTTGTTAATCACTGACGTGGCGCGAAGCTAAGGTGCCTAAATTACTAGCATAGAAAAAAGTTCATTTATTAATATTTTTCAACAATGTTTATTGTCTTGTAAAGATACCATTTTATTTCTAATTGATGTAGATATTGCGATGTCTCGAAGACTTTGACAAGGTTTCAAATTTCAATTAAAAATGAACAACTTTTTGTCAAATAGGTTTTTATAACTTCTTAAAAAAATTAAATTTATCTTATAGGAATAAGAGTTTTTAAACGGAGAATTATCTTATAAAATAATGTCTTAAAGACCTTTACATCACAGAACATTTCTAATTAATCTTAAATAATTAAGTTAAACCACTATTAATGAATTTTAATAGATCGATTGCTCCTAGACTAGTGACAAGTATAGATAATATATTAGGCTTTACCGTTTTACGTAAACAGAGTATTGTGCAGTCGGTGTGCATGCAAAATTATCTTTTTTGTTTTGACATGAATTTGGAATCTTGTAATATATACGTAGCGAAAGCCAATTTATAATTTATTTGAATACAATACGTACAAAACATATACAAAAACAAAAACTATCACACTATTACGATCTAGCTATATTCTTTACACTAATTACTGATTCTAGACCTGCCACAACCAAATCTTCATTGTCGATGCGCCCTTCGCTGGCACGCACCTCCAAGCGATTGGCATTATGATTGACATTCCATAGTTTGGGCAAAAATTTGGGCTGCATGGTGTGTAAAAAGTGTTCCCGCCACAAACGCTCCAGCTCGACGAGACCACCGAGCTTATCGCGATATACCTGGACGACCTTCTTGCCGTGCTGGCAGTACTCCTCGTTGGGCACACGGCAATCCAATTTGGCGGCCTTCTGCAATAGCTCTGGGGTTATCTCAGTGACATCTTTATAGTAATCCAAAATGGTCTTCTGCAACTGTGCAACTTTTTGGCTGGGCATACGATCGCTCTGCATCAACAGAGCCTTCCCAGCTAACTTCACGTTTCTGAAAAGGATTACGCATTAGATTGGCAAGCAGATGGCAATTATCCATACCAACCTGAGTTGCTGATCATCATGGTACTTGGAGACGCCCTCGCCATGGCCGAATGGTGCCTCGCAGGTCATTGCGAGTTTGTTGCGTATCTTGTTGTCCGATATATTGCTCAATTGGTGGCAGCTGGGACAGAGCAGGAGTATGTCGTGGGATGTGTGTGATTTCATAACAACCGGAAAATGTTTGCGATATTCGCGTGGCACGACATTCTTTCGTATATAGGCATCTCGACGGCCGCATACAACGCATTGATTCTCCTTGGGCGTCTGATAGTAGCGGCCGACGTCTCCTACAGCTCGACCTGCCGGCTCAAAATTCAAGCGCACTGTGAACGGCTGCTCGCTGACCTGAGTGCCTAGATTCTGGTTCAAATACCATGAGGCCTTGCGACGATCAATAGTGCAGAGCAGCTCGCCATCGGGCGCCTCCAGCACACAATTGTCATAGAAGGCCTTGGACTGAGTGCCCAGATTGCGAACTTGCTGCTGTTGCGGCTGCTGCTGCTGTGGCTGTTGATGCTTCTTGTTACGCTTGGGCTTAGACTTGCTTGTTAGTGGATGTGTGAAAGTGCTTGTCGATAGGGTCTTGCCGAGGCCAGAGGCAAAGCCTTTAGTAAAATCTACATCTAGAAATGGCTCAAGTTTTGGACGCAACTGCTTGAATTTCGGAGCACGCCAGTCCCAAAAGGTACGTGGTTCCAGATCTTTGGATAACTTCTGAAAAATAGCAACAGCGGCCAGTGCATCATTGGCCGCATAATTAAGCTGTGCGGAATCCAGTTGTGGAGCCTCCCAGTTGGAGCAGGCGAGACGCCAATTCTTGTCGAGCGCAGTATTGAGATGAGTTTGTGATAGCTTGCCAAGGCCCTCGGCCTGGTGCCCGGCCATGACAGCCATGTAGCGCAAATCAAAGGTGCTGGCAACGCCAACACCATAATCATGTGATAGCTTCATAGCGTCGTCTTGTGGTGCGACGCCTACCTTAAGCACGGCATCATCCTCGAGCAATTCGCGCAAATCCTTGGGTATTTGCTTCATGCAGCACAAGCGAAATAGGGCGCAGAGGCCCTTGTGGGAGCTCAGCTGCAGCAGAGCAACAGGTCGACGTGTGCCGCCTACAGTAATCCATTCACAATCAAAGCCCATCACTTTAAATGACTCGCAATGGCTGCAGATATGTGGAGGCATATTTTCATATAATATTATTTCAATTTACGGTCACTTACCTCTTAAGTTCATTTAGAATGCGCTGTGACTCGTTAACCGAGCTGATAACTTCAATGCGTTTGTGCTGTAGCTGAAAGGCACTGCGTCCCAATACGCCCCAAATCGATTGCCTGTACCGCACGAGCACATAAGCCAGGCCAAGACTAGCAGCGAGCAGGGCCCAGCGGTTGATCTTGGTGTTACCGGTTTGGTTGCTCATGGCTAAGTCGAACTCGAAAAGTGTTGATGAAATTACCAAATATATCGAAATTACAATAAACTACGCTCCCGATTGACCGATAAAGAATGTAAACGCAGCCTACTCGCCGTGCTGCCCAACAAAAATTTAAATGATATATAGAATTGTTTCATAAGGAGCCACGATTTTGCGTCGCATACTTTGATGCTAAATATTTTTTGAAATCAAAGTTTAACTAGAGTACTTCGGTACTCTATTATGTCACGAACTGAACTTATACATTTTCCTATGTAGCTTAAGCAATCGATAACAGTTTATTTTTCTGTTCACTTGATAAGCATTGTTCGTTCGAATTCGAGCAGACTGGCAACCTTTTTAACAGTCACTGTTAACCGACAGCGCGGCCAGCTGTTAATTAATTTATAATATTGTGCGAGCCTTAATCAAATGATTGTGTATGAAAAACTGTATAAAACTATAATTAATAACAACTATTATTGTCGGTAAACTAAAACAGTCATGTTAAGTTAAGAAATGTTGTATTTTCGCAGCAGTAGCTGCATGCTTCCAAAAACACCGCTGTCCAGTTGAAAAATCGATTTTTCCAGCGCAATCAAAAAAGAAAGGTAACATAATTCAATAACGGTACTTTGTGACGCTTTGTATCTAACTTTTAAAATGCTTGCAGAATGTGTCATTGAATCTAAAAGTAGTTTAGTTTAATTAAGAAAGCGGCAAAATGCCAGAGAATTTGGAATTGCATCAATTTGAGGACGGAACGCGAGCGGGAGATATATCAAATCAATGGATGGAACAGATTAAAACGCGTGTAAATTGCCCGTATTTGGGAATCATACTCGCTACGCTGTCTTCGCTATTCTTCTCGCTGTGCTCGGTGATTGTTAAGGGCCTGGTTGATGTCAATCCCATGGAATTGGCCTCGTTCCGCTTTGTGGGCGTTCTACTGCCTACCATCCCAATACTCATCTATACCAAGCAGCCAGTATTCCCGGAGGGCAAACGTGTCATCCTCCTGCTGCGCTGCTTCATGGGCACCACGGGCCTGATGCTCAGCTTCTATGCGTTTCGGCACATGCCCCTGGCCGATGCCAGCGTCATCATCTTCTCCACACCTGTGTTCGTTGCGATCTTCGCAAGGGCCTTCCTCAAGGAGCCGTGCACCCTCTTCAATGTGCTGACCATCAATATGACGCTCCTTGGCGTGGTGCTAATCACTCGGCCACCGTTGGTCTTTGGCGAGGCGACGCCGGATCTGGACAGTGAAAAGTATTCGGATAAAACATATGATATCTGGGGACCAGTTGCTGCCATATCCTCGACGCTGTTCGGTGCCAATGTCTATATATTGCTGCGCGCTCTGAAGAATCTTCACTTCTCTGTGATTATGACAAACTTTGGAGCGATTGCCCTCGTATACACTCTGATTGTGTGCGGCGCGATTGGCGCCGTCTGCTGGCCAAGCTGTGGACGGGATCGCTGGCTCGTCGTCGTCTTGGGCATCTTCAGTTTTTTGGGCCAGATCCTGTTGACGCTCTCGCTGCAGGTGGAGCAGGCCGGTCCAGTGGCCATAGCACGCTGTGCCGATATCGTATTTGCCTTCATCTGGCAAATCCTCTTCTTTGGCGAGGCGCCCAACGGGTATTCCCTGTGCGGCGCCCTGATGGTCGTCAGCTCTGTGATTTTGACGGCCATGAAGAAATGGGCGATGACCTTGCCACGAGAGTCGTCTCTGCGTAAGCGCTTGCGTCTCATACTGATGGAGTAGACCAAAATAGTTGCTGTAGCTGTAGTGGTTCATGTAATGCTTTAGTTATTTTAGTGGTTTCTCAAATCATTTCAAATCTCAAATCTCATTTGGGCATTGGGGAACAATGCTCAACCAACTACGATACGAATAACTAATTCATATACACGACTTAGACTTTGGATTATTGATAGAGCTCAGCTTAGTACTTAAAGAAATAGACGCATTATATAAATATCCACATCTTTTACATTCATATATATATAGGCATAAAGTTTTAAAGTTCGAGCGTGATACTCATACCATCAACAAATATTCATACATACATATGACTATGATATATATATACATAAATCTAATGGTTTAGTTTAGCCAAATTCATTGAGTTGTTGTTTTGTACATTGTTATACATGCTTATACTAAAGTATTTCGACAAACTCTTATTAATAAATACTAATTTAAAAAGAAAAGTCCGTTAATTGGAGTTTTGATTTCTAATCGTTGTAGCTTCTTGAGATTTCCCATAGAGGGTGCTACCGTCGCAGCTGCGACAACAGCTGTGCGAGTTTCGATACTTGCCTATTCGATTCGTGTTTCATGTTTCGTGTGCATTTTAAGTACTCAGTATTTTCAAGCGGTTAACATAGCGCAACTTTGTGTATAAACTGTTAGCAGAGCGTCGTCGTCACTGGTTATCTTAACGGAGCAAGTGCATTAAAGCAACAGAATAAACAAGCTTATACTCAAAATACGTCTACAGCAGGTATGAAGCGACAACAGATGCTGGCCCTTGCGATAAATGTATACATAGCGAGTCAGTAGTACTTTTGACGTCACATCTTCATGTTTGGGTCATGCAAATAACAGTTGATTAACATAGCGCAACCTCTCAGTGTAAATTACTCTGTTAGCAACGCGTCGGCGCCACCGGTTGCTACAACAAAAAGAAGTACTCGAACGCAATAAGTACTCATAAAACAAACAAAACAACGCAATTGGCCGGTGAGCAAAGGAAACAACTAAAATACAAAATTAACCAACCAAATCTCAAAAGTGTTTGATGTGCTTGTGAATACATACATAGTGTGCCTTGAACTTACATATGTCGATAATATAATTATATTTAAATACATTGAAAAAAAGGAACACTACGCAAACAGTAAACAAACACGTTGTACATTCGATTCTTTTTTTACTCGGGAGCTGCAGCTGTTGTTGTTCATCTTCTTCATATTGTGACTCATGGGCCTAGAAACCCAAATCGGCAATCACCGCATCCAGTTCATCCTGCAGA